GAGTTCTGGTCTGTGCTTCTATGTTTGTGGATTAAATTAATCGTTAGTTTGGATAGTTTTCATAATACTTAATATTTGTCTGTGATTATTTACATAAATACATACATGAGATATGTAAGTACGTGTTAGAGTTGTGGAAAAATAATAAAATGATGACTGAATCACATGCTTTTCTTTTCGACATTACTTGCAATGATAGATACATAACTTTTACGGGACTGGGACCTTGACGAAGCTCTGTACAAGCTGGAGTAGGTGAATCGGCTTGCGAGTTTCAATGATTTAGGGAGCCGGACCATAGATTAAGTCATAATGGGGGGTTGTTAAAGAAAAACTAGACTAAGACAAGTCCCTGAAAGAAGGCCGTAACTCTTTCAGTACTCAGGGTGACAGAGATCACGAGGATCGGTATGGCACTCTGATGCACAATACTGCGATGTGGAAGGCAACGGGAAACCACCACATCATCATCCCGACTAAAACAGTAAGGGAAGGTGCAATATTTCACGAGTAGAAGTGTGGAATCCAAGTAGGGAAATTGGAAAATTTGAAAGTTGATATGAATAGACTAGAATTAGATATGTATTAGCAGGTATTACTGAAGTCCGTTGGTCAGGAGCTAGAGACTTCTGGAGTGGAGATTTCAGAATAATACATACAGGATCGGTGGAAGGTAATTCGGGAGTAGCAATTGTAATGAGTAGGAGAGCAAAACAGAGTGTAGAAAGTTATTTACAAAAGCGATAGGACAGTTATGCTTAAATTAAGCTCGAAGCCGGGAAAAACGGTAATCTTACAATGATGAAGACGTAGAAGCGGTTTATTTAGATATAGAAGACGTGTTAAGTTTAGCGAAAGGGCAAGAAAATCTAATAGTTGTAGGAGACATCAACGCAGTAGTAGGTGAAGGTAAAGACGGTGCAATAGTAAGTTCTTTTGGATTATACAACAGAAATGATAGGGGAGATAGACTGATAGAATTTTGCAATAAACATAACTTAACCGTCGCGAATACTTTATTCAACCATCACGTTACAAGGCGCCATACGTGGAAGGGGCAGCTAAGGAACAGTGGATTGATATGAGGTGTAAGAAAAGTTTGAAATAGGTAAAACGGATAGGCCTTAAATATGATTAAAAGGAATTTTAGAGAAGTAGGGTACAACAGTAATAATATAAGAAAAGAGGCATGGGTCATTTTGATAAAAAATGAGGAAATTTTAATGTTCCTTTTGGTACATGAAGTATAAGTCTTAAAAAGGAAATTTTAATCTTTAGACATACGTTTTTTAAATTCGAAATTAATGAGGAGATTTCAAAGTAAATTTTTTTGTAGAGGGCTTAATTGGAAGGGAAAATCAAGTTTATTTTCCTGGGTGGGGGATTTTGATTTTGTCGAGTACCGGAACTGAATTAAGGTAAATATTTTATAAAATTGAAGCCTTCTATTTGTAAGTTTTTATATGTAAATATTATCATCATCAAGATACTTTTTACATGTACGTATCTAATTGTTTACATTAGGGGAAACAACAAAGTGCAAAAGTTGATTCCCCTCAATGGGTACGTTCAATTTGTAGTTTAATAATTTTAAGGCATTTACCATTTAATTGCTGCAATATGATTTCTGGAATGTAAATTAATTATTTATTTCCATATGACATAAAAGTAAAACTAATATACTGGTATGCAAGGGAAGAAAAAGTAGGGATATAAAGGTAGGAGACGAAAGATTAGAAAAAGTGGCTGATTTTAGATACCTAGGAAGTCAGATAAGTCAGGATGGAAGGAGTAGTAGGGATATAAAGCAGAGGATAGCGTAGGGTCGTGTCGTCTTTAATAAAAAGAAGTCACTTCTATGCTCGCGAACGGTTAATTTAGAATTTCGAAAAAGGTTGTTAAAGGTGTATGTTTGAAGCACGGCGTTGTACGGGTGCGAAACATGGACAGTGGGAGCGACGGAAAAGAAAAGGTTAGAAGCGTTCGAAATGTGGTGTTATAGGCGGATGATGACGATACCGTGGATAGAGAAGGTTAGAAATGAAGAGGTATTAGAATGAATAGGACAACAGGGGACTCTATGGAAGTCAATATGGAAAAGGCGAGATAGGTTGGTAAAACACCTTCTTAGGCATGAAGGTCTAGTAAGAGACATATTAGAGGCAGAAACAGGAGTTAGGAAGGGTAAAGTTAGACCTAGGTTAGATTACTGTTCACAAATAGTTAAAGATGTGGGTTGTTCTAGTTTTAGGGAAATGCGAAGTTTAGCTCAGGATAGGAAAGAGAGGAGGTGCGTGTCATACCAGTCTTAGGACTGACGACCCTATGATGATGATGATATGACATGGTAGAAGGGAGGATTATTTAAATATGACTTAGTAGGAAATAAGTATTTACAGGTTTTAAGAAAGTTATAAAGAGATATTAACATTAGCAAACGAGGAGAAAGGGTTAGTAACCCCTCTAGTTCTTCTAATCTAACTTTGAATCATTCAATAGTGTTTCATCAAAATTTTCTTCAGAATTTATTTCTAATACACGATAATAAAAAACGTTGAAGGTTCCCAAAAACAAACGAGTTGCTTACGAAAACTCGACAACGTTTATTATGGATCACTTTTTAACTTCGACAGGAATTTATACCCTTGCAGGTTGGTAATAAAGGTTATGTTTACGAGCTACGAAACTTTTTAATATCGATGTATAACACACACCTATATGCATACATGAGAGACTTCGACAAAAGTTTTTGAATTTACTTTTTATGAGAAAGCTTAATATCAACCAATATACCAGATAAGCAATAACAAAAATTTTTGTCATTAATGTTCTTTACGGCTTTCATTATTATTAGTATTATTATCGGTATAGATTGCTTTTATTCTACTCTAATAAAAAATTATAACCTTATAAACGACGATGGACCAAAAGGCCAACGATTTTAGTGGAATGTAGAAATCAAGAAACTCAAAGTCATGACCTATTGGATTCTAAACTACCTCTACTCATCGTGACTTCACCCGCAATAGTCTTGCAACAGATATCTGCTTCCGCAATTAAAAAAGTTCCGCTGATATTTTCACATCCGCTTTTGCATCTGATTGCGCATTTTTATGACAGAAATTTATTGGAACTTAACAAAATCCTATTTATTATGTTTTTGAAATCAGAGAAAAACATCGTACTTTTGATGGTATGTATGATAAAAATGTAGTCTCTTGATACAAAACAGTGGAAAAGTTTGAACAAATAGATTTATTAAAGAACTCCACAATTATCAAAGAGTGTATACGAAATATAAAAATATAAAATTCATTTGCTGAAACTTATCTTTATTTCTTATTAAGAAGTTATCAAATTTTGTATCACAGTTGCGCCATACATAGTTTAAATAATATTGAACGTAGTTTTTATAAATTTCCACCTTTAAAATATATAGATGCATTAATAAGAAACACTTTAACATTTAAAAGGGGTAAATATCAAATATTAAGGTGAAAATTCATTTTAATTTTCTTCCACTATAAATTACCTCAAGTTAATGAGGGAAAAATTTGTTGCTGTTGTCACACCCCCGCCGGGAGTCGAACCCGGGACCAATGCATTGGTGCGTAAAGCCAAAGGTCCCGGGTTCGATTCCCGGCAAGGGTGTGACAACAGCATCAAATTTTTTTCTCATTAACTTGAAGTAGTTTATAGTGGGAGAAAATTAAAACGAATTTTCACATTAATATCTAGAAACATATATATTATAGACCAAATAACTTACTTACTTGGAAATCCATTGAATGCAAATTGTAACATCCTTCGGAAACCAATTTTCCTTGATCTTCAAACATCAAAACGTTTATATTTTTAGGTCAAATCTTTTAAAGACCTAACAATAACGACACTTCGAATAACACGAAACATTTTTATCAACAATTTATTAATTATGTTTATTTTAGTGTTATTTAAACGCATATCATCAATTATGATGATTGCAACACGATGCACTTTCGGTAACTTTTTTCGCATAAAATAACACAATAATTGTTTATCACACTTTCCGTTTATGTATTTGTTTTATTTATTTAGTTCTTATCAAATACGAGCAATTTCGTTGATATTTTCCGAAAGAAAAACGTTTTCTTCGTAACTATACGCAAACCGGATGAAATTGTGAAATAAATGATATTAGCAAGTTCACGCGTGCATACCGCTAAAACATTAATTTATGAGATAAATCCAAAGTTTCGTCACTGCTAACGACGAACGTGTCCGAATAGAGCTCTTCGGTCTGAGTTCGTGATCACCTTGGTATGACGTAGCAAAGTCAAAGCAGCTCAATGCAAGTACAGTCTGCGCAGTCAAAAATACGAAAAGAGAAAGTACAATCTTAGAAAGTACTGTTCGTTTCAAGAAGTAAGAGATATGCCTCTTCCCTTTATTAGGATGCACCGTAGCATAATTCCAAATTCAATCATATTTATCTGCGGATATCATTTCTCCACCGATCGTCGAGCGAGAACTAGACAAAAGTGTACAGTACCATTTGCAAAATTATTTAAACTGCCTTGTTAAAATTTAAAAATATGCTTTATTTAAAAGCATATTTAGCCACAAATAATATCAAGTGAATTAACTTAACGTTCTACACACCTATAAAACTTTTGCTTTGTTTTCTATTGTTAATTTTTATACATTTTTGTTTTAAGAAATTGCTAAACATTTTCGTCTAATACTGTACAGTTCTAGCCGATCTCCTAAGAACGGCCATCGAGAGTTCTGCTCGTTCAAGCTTGTTTCAACTATTTCTGTCTTGCTCACGGCTAGTGTGTATTCTTTCTATCTTCGCGCAGATTTCTTCAAGGTCACAATTCTAACAAATTGAAATAGACTGTACTTTACAGTAACAAGGCGGGATTTAATACATGCCAATAAAACCATAAAATTGGAAATAACAATTGATAAAATAGTTGGTAATAAAATTATTGTAAAAACAGTTTATTTCGGTCGTATTTACAAAAAAAAAATAGATTGGAGAAAACAGTATAAAATTGCACGATCGTTATTATGTACATACAACATTTTATTAACATACACATAATATAAAAGTGTATATAATATTATATATAAAAAATACTTATTTACAAATACCTTTGAGCAAAAACGTTTTAGCAGGGTGACATTTTTTGTCACTCCGCCGAGCACTTGGATCACAATTCGGTTGACACATGCGAGAAACCAATAGAATTCGCAATGACAAAAGATAACCAACAATATGTTTTCAAAAAAAAAAGAAGAAGGACCAGAACGATATTATTTTAGTTATTTTTATACCTATTTCAGATAATATCGTTCTAATTCTTAACACAATTGCCATTTATTTTATTGATCACTGGACCCCTTAGTTTTTTAGATTACGAAATTACGATTCTACCATTAACCAAAGTTTGAACACACGTGTAGAATTTGGACGATACAAATGTTATCAGGTACTGATTATTGAGGTGATTTTACATCTGCCTCATAGAAATAAAAGAAAAAAAAATCGTTCTAAGTCAAATTTGACTTTTGAAATGGGCCAGTTGAAATTATTGCAGAAATGAATAGACGAAGATGTCCTTAAGTAGTAGTTCAATGGGACGCTCTTCGATTTTATGGATAATTTTTCCATTAGGGGACATCACTAATGAATACTGAAAACTTTTTCCTCAATTTTGAACATATAGGAGTACTTTCTGACTAATTTGAGCAAAGTGAATTCAAATATCCTACTTTCTGAACAATTTGAGCACAATGAATCCAAAGATCGCATTTATTTTGATATCATTTCAATCTTTCTTACAAAAGATCATAAATTCTTTCGATTTTTAAATACAACTCATTTATTTTAAAGCGATAACGGAAAAATCCTTTTGTGTTCTCATTAAGAATGTTAAAATCTATAGGAATCGACTTCTTAATCTTTAAAATCTACCATGAGTTAGCCATAATAGGCAAATCAGAATTGGTCAATTTTGACACCTCTTGACGCCTCATTAAAACATTAGACAGGTACATCCTTTTTATTCATTCCTGCAATAATCTCAGATGGCTGTCTCAAATGTTAAATTCGCATTAAAGTGATTTCTCTTCTTTAATAAAACCTACAAAACGTGCAGGCATACGCGTGAAGAAAGTTTGTTTTCGTTTTGAGACGTCTTCTTCGAAAAAGATGACTTTAAATTTTCTAATTAAATAGCATACGACCTGATAGAGGAGAGTTGAATTTTATTAAGTTTTTATAATTTTCTTTAAATGTTTCCAAGAAGGAATGTCGTAGCTGTTGACTTAGGAACTATAATTTTGTGTAAAAAGTACGTTATATATTCAAGGCAAGAAATAAAAGATCTAATAATTTCATTATTAAATGGGATATTAATTTTAAGTGTTTAAACAGAAAAAAAATGATCCTATTAGCTCCATTAGAAACCAATTGTTTTAGAACACATTTTCAGATTGCTTTCCCAAAATGATCTCCATATATTAAACAAAATTTTTTTATTTGCAATAAGTCTTGAAGAAGCCATTGCTCTGGAGACGACGAAGTTGGTAAAATTTTGTAAAATCATTAACGATTATCGAAAACAAGTGTTAACAAATCAAAATAAAACAAGTACCTACCTTTAGAAACAAATATTTTTTTTCGTATTCTCTATCTTCGCTTTTTTCTTGGAATATTTTATTTTATACGCACCTTTAGGATTCATTTTTGTTTGTCTAAACATTTAAAAACTCATTTTAATTTACCACAATACTCACAATTTTGTTTTTTTTTTGATATCATCACGAGGAGGTCTCAAATGAATGTTGTTCTGTTACGTATAGTAAGATACTACCTAGGTACGTTTTATAACAGATCATTTTTGGAACAAAAAAATCTAGGATGACAAGAACATGGCCATAAAACCAATTTGAGCTTAGGGGGTGATAAAAAAAATATAAAGTGTTAAATGCATCGATGAAATGTACAAGACTTGCAAAGTGTATATGTATATATATATCGGATATATCTGCAGGAATGATGTTTTGTGTCTTGTATGTAGGTACTTATGTTTAATTAACGATAAGTAATAATTATATCATACATCGAACCTCCTGTCGATCATATGGTTTTCTAATAGCACGTAGCTGTCCCTGCTAATAACACTGTTTGACCGGCCGTTTGCTAAATAGACGCCCTGCTGTCTAAGAGTCCTCATACCGCCCTCTATCGTTTCTTTTGTGAACAACAGTGACTTATAGGCGTTTACGAATACACCGACGAGGATACAGCTCCCGAAAAAGATGGATCCGTAGGTGAAGAGAGGGCATGCGACCTCCGACACCGTCGTCGCCAAATAAACCCACCTTCGAATTGACGGAGTCAGCTCGTCGATTCCCTGAAACAAAATAACAAGGATAAGGGATACAAATAAATTAAGTCTGTTATCGTAATAAGGTTGTTGGTCCTAAAACTGGTTGGACACGCACCTCCGCTCTATTCTATCCTGAGTTAATCATTATCGCATTTTCCTAAAACTAGAACAGCCCACATACTTAACTATTTGTGAACACTAATCTAATCTAGGTCTACGTCTCCACCTCTTAGTTCCTGTTTCTGATTCTAAAATATCTCTAACTAGCCCTTCACGTCTGAGAAGATATTCTACCAACATATCTAGCCTATTTCGTATCAACTTCCATAGCGACCTCTGTTGTCCTATTCTTTCACGACCAGTAGGTGAACTGATGCTATTTTCGACGTCGTCTCGCTGTTTGGTAAGGTACCGCTAACACGATGTCTTGACCTAGTGTCTAAGATCTTCTCTGCCGACATCTGGGGTTTGCCCCACTGAAACCTATTGCGTGTGAAGGGGGAATTGCTACTACCAGATAGAAGGGGTAGCAATGGCAAGTCCACTAAGTCCGATCATAGATAATCTCTTTATGGAACGCTATCGAGACCTCGAAGTACATGTCAACTGCTTGGCTCCGATGCGTGGATGACAATCATAATTTGGAAAACACCCAAACATCCAGTTCCCCATGGAGATTGAGAAGGACCAACAGTTAGGATTTTTGGACGTACTACTGAGAAAACTAGACATCAAATTGGTCCACGGTATACAAGCAACATATACACACGGAGAGGTATCCGCACGCCTTATCCAACCACCAACAAAGTCAGAAGCTAGAAAGATCTGCCAACCCAGAATATCTCCAGGTGGAACTCGAAACACTTAAAGACCTCTTTCGAGGCAAATAGTTACAAAAAGAGGAAGATTGGCAAATCAATGAACGTATTAAAGGCAGTAGAGATCAATGAACGCCGCATTACCACCTCTCTAGCATATCTACCATATGCTCTGAAGGTCACAGACCGAATTAGCGGTCCTGAACAGACACGACATCAGAACCATCTTCAAACCCACGAAGAAGATTCAACAGATCGTCAGATCAGCTAAGGACACAAGGAACCCTCTTTCAGCCTCAAGAGTCTACCGCATACCCTGCTCCTGTGGAATGGTCTACATAGGAACCACTAAGAGATCGATGGGAACGAAACTCAAAGAGCACAAAGCAAAGTACCGACTAGGACACACTGAAAAGTCGGCTGGGAGCTCTTTGAAAACTGTAAAAAAGTGCTAGCATCGGTCAACGACTAGCACAGCAGGATGGTTAAAGAGGCTATCGAGATCCAAAAGCATCTGGAGAACTTCAACAAGAAAAAGACCCTCAGACTTAACCAGATCTGGAAAGCGGTCCTCAGGAACACTTGAACGGTACCGACTGACATGCCACGATCAACTGATCTGGAACAAGCACTGCCCCCTACCTACTTTTTAGCGCGAGTGTCCACCCAGTACTTCAGAGGTGGGCCATTTACTTCGGTTTTCCTCCTCAACACTCCCTTCTACCCCCACTCTTAACCCTAATCCCATCTTAATCCTATCCCCAATCCCCAACCTTCCACTTTCTTCCCGGGTATGAGCAACCCACAGGGTTTATCTTCCCGCTCCAGGAGGGGTTTTAGTCGGTAAGAATCCGACGAGTATAATCTAAACAAAAAAAAAAAGAAAAATCGCCAATCCTTATTCAGTATCGGAGATGGAAGGACTTATGAAGAAACTTTCCACTCGTGTAAGCGAAAAGTTAGGAAGCAACTCCTCAGACGACGGCCTTTAGATCCAAATAAGAATAGCATCAGTTCCCCCAATATGTGAACAATTTTGCAGACTTAGAACCAGAAATAAAAAAAATCAGGTGGATATCCAGCCAAATTACCCTCTCCCCTAAAATATCCATACAAATCAGTTGTAACTTTAAGCACAAAATAATAACAGTCTGACATTGATTTAAATTGCATTTAGATTAAATTCAGTTAATCACTTACAGAAGGGTAGGTAGATAAAAACAAGCTTTAGAAAGGATAATACGTTTAGTGTCCATTCTATGTGCCTCTACCTGTCCGTGTTTTTCATGTACCAACATGGACACCTATGCTTTATTGGTTAATTTTGTAGTAACACAGCCACGCGAGCTGGCGCCCATATATCTCTCCCCCTAAAGCCATACTATTACCGAACAATGTTCTAATGCAATTTATTTAATCGTAAACACGAGCATAAAAGGATATATGCAAATGAGTTTCGCCGAAATTTGTCCACAAACTCGTTATTTCGAGTAAACAACTACTGAGCTCTAGAACTAAATGATGTGTTCAGAGCCCCGAGGACATATATATGTATACTGTATACGCGTGCGTTTATTTATAGCACAGCCAATTTCAAAAATCTGGCATTTTGTAATACGACTAGGCGACTAAGAAAAACGACAAACTAAATGTTTAGACCAAGAAGGGTAGATATACCATATGTAGGACCAATAACTTAATCCGATGAAAATAGGTAGAAGGTATTATTATCTACTAATAAATGATAGAAAACGAAACGGTCTGTTGCTCATGTAGGAAATAACAGGATTGACGACAGGTTAAACTAAGCATTGGCTTGTCGATATTGGACCAATATTAGGCTAACCTCACATAAACATTTTACCAAGTTCGACCCAGTACTGGGCAGCCAATGATATGTTTGTCAACACTGGACGATTGCTCGGTCAATCTTCATGTGCCAAAGTTAAGTACATTAATGCTTTTCCAAGCTTACTAGAGTACTAAGCAGGCAAGTATAACTTTGTCAATATTCGACCAATGTTCAGTCAATCTCTAACCAATGTTCGGTCAATCTTAACGTACCAAGTTTCGGTTCACTAATGCTTAGCCAAGTTTAATAGAGTATTGGGTATCCAAGTATTGTTTTGTCAATACTAGATCAATGTTAGGTCAATCTTCACGTACCAGGTTAAGGTACATTAATGTTTCGTCAAGTTTAGTAGAGTACTGGGCACCCAGGTATAACTTTGTCAATACTAGACCAATGTTCCGTCAATCTTCACGTACCAAGTTTAGGTTCACTTATGCTCCACCAAGTTTATTAGAGTACTGGGTAACCAAGTACAGCTTTGTCAATACTAAATCAATGTTTAGTCAATTTTCAAGTGCCAAGGTTCGGTACATTAGTGTCTCGTCAAGTTTAGTAGAGTACTGGAAAGTCAAGTATAACTTTGCCAATACTAGACCAATGTTCGGTCAATCTTCACGTACCAAGTTTCGGTTCACTAATGCTTCGCCAAGTTTAATAGAGTACTGGGTAGCCAAGTACAGCTTTGTCAATACTAAATCAATGTTCAGTCAATGTTCAAGTGCCAAAGTTCGGTACATTAGTGTTTCGCCAAGTTTAGTAGAGTACTGGGCAGCTAGGTATAGCTTTATCAATACTAGACGTATGTTTGTTCAATCTTCAAGTACCAAGTTCTGGTACATTAATGTTTCGCAAAGTTTAATAGAGTACTGGAAAGTCATGTATAGCTTTGTCAATACTCAACCAATGTTCGGCCAATATTCAAGTACCAAGTTTCGGTACATTAATGTTTCGCAAAGTTTAATAGGGTACTGGGCAGTCAAATATAGCTTCGTCAATACTAGACCATTGTTCGGTCAATCTTCACGTACCAAGTTCTGGTATACTAATGTTTCGCAAAGTTTAATAGAGTACTGGGCAGTCAAATACAGCTTTGTCAATACTCGATCAATGTTCGGTCAATCTTCACGTGGCAAGTTCTGGTACACTAACGTTTCGCCAAGTTTAGTCAAAAGTTTGAAACATAATTGTTTCTCCAAATTCTGTTCTGTACTGGGTAGCCTAGTATAGATCTGTCAATACTGGATCATTGTTTGGTCCATTTTTAAGTACCAGAATTGGTTACATTAATGTTTTACCAAGTTTAGTCGAGTACATCATTTTGTTCGGTGAATGCTTTTTGTTACTATGCCGCTGCAGGTTGTGAGTAAACTATAACTCATGCTCAGTTGTTAGGGACTATGTGACATTGAAGACGTACGAAATACAGCTTTATCTACCAATGTAATGTTAAGAACTGAAGAGATCAAGGATCTGTCTGTGCTCATTCCAACTGCGTCTCTCAACGGGTGCATGTTAGCGGCAAATCATATAAACATGTTAGTTTATTTAAATTTTCGTACATTGATCACATGCTCTAATTGGGGAGCTGCAATAGCAGGTAACCTAACCTAAATTTTGTATTTTTATTCTTACATCTAATTTAATAAAACCAAATTAATAGAATTAAGCTAACAACTTTTGCCAACAAAAACAAAGGTTCTATAAATTTAAATGCGCCTTGAAACGACAGTGATGTAGGCTCCCTTGGCTTAACTAAAATGTACGCCACTGGTATTGAGATATTTTCCCCGCTTTTCCATACGTTGACAAAATTGCGAGACGTTTGTCGACGATGGAAACAAAATAAAACAAATGAGAAAACAGTAAACTTGAATTCAGTTTCGAGTAAATTTAATGTGATGGTAAATGTGGAAAATTATTTTTTAGTCAGATAACGTGAGTTTGGTTATTGGTGTGTTTGTTTGTTGAAAAGTTATAAATAGAGAAACAAAACTAATTTCAGCACAATTATTATTGCTTACCTCTTCTAACCACATAATTGGATACACGATATTCGGGAACCTGGAAACAGGTCGGACATTTTCGGCTTGTTCAACTCTTAAATTCAATTGCACCCTCACTTTGGCCTCAACAGGGACACCCAATTTCTGTAACAAAGGAAACTGTTTTATTTACTCCTACTCTGTACACTGAAAGACAAAATAGACACATAAAAATACTTGTAAATAAGTGGGATGTTACACATAAATCATCGATTAAATTCTATTTCTTCAGACTAAAGTAGGGCTTTCAATAAAAAAAGGAATAAGAAATGTAATCTATCTCAAATACTTTACTCGTAACCACCTACAAGATATTTATTGAAACGTAATTTTGATAACTATACGCGAATGAGTGAAACATCTGCCATTACTAATAAAGGATAGAAAACCCGACGGTCCGCTGCGCGATGAGCCACTGCGCATCAATTTTAACATTGTCAGTTGTCAAATACATGCCCTACGCGTCAAATCGGATGCGCAGTTCCTTACTGCGCAATGACTAGCCGTGCATAGCTCTAGCCTACTTGCGCGTAACAAACAGGCTAGGTGACGTGACGGAGTTTTACCAATAAATTTTCAAAATGGCGATGTTATCACTGTCGGTTGTTACTAGCACGTTATCTTTTTTAAATACTTCAAAGAGATGTCTACTAATACGATCGATTTTTAGCCACTTTAACGTGGTGCGCGATAAAAACTCCATTTCAAAATTGTGACGCCATTTTGGGTTAACTGTCATTTTTAATGGTCATAACTGTACCTGTTGTAAATTGAACTTACCGGTTGTATTTTGAAATAAGTTTCGTGTTTCTCCTTGTCCGGATAGAGTCCCTCGAAGGATTGACGTAGGGCTGGATCGGCTTTGTAAAAATGAGGGAATGATAAATATACTGGAGCATCTGTAAACGAGAAAATGAGATATGAAAAAATTGAATGCCATCTAGGACGAGTTGTTTGTCATATTTCTTTTTTCTGTATTTATTTATTTATTTATTTAATACAAACCGTATTGACAGGGGCTGATATTTTGGAGTCCTTTGGGAGCGCAGGGAAAATCGTCTAGACAGTAACACTTGTTGTTCGGCTCCTTGGTGCCAGTTTCGAAAATATTATCTGGCGGAGTGTACAGATCTGCCGTAATCCCTGAAACGAAACAAAAAATTAAATTGTCGCTTTTTAACCAACAGAACGTTTCATGAAATTTCTTATAATACACATTTCTGAGATTGCGATGCTTAAAAGAAAAACGGAATCCTTATAATAAGACCACTCATTAGTTCGTCTGTCTACTAGTCGCAATTATTTTTCTTGGAAACTAATGAAAGTGAATTGAACAAGTCATAATGTCTCATATGTTATGAACGAATGCCGTAAGCGATCGATACTGACGGCACCTTCAATAATCAAGGACATCTCGCGACCGTTTAAATAAGCGAAAAGCATTCGACGTGGTAGAATCGATAGAAAGAGTGCGCATACAAAAAGACTAAATAGTGAGATAAATCTACAACGTCGTAATTAATCGATATAAAAATTTGTAAAACGATTATGTAGGTACTGAAAATAAAGCAACTTAGATATAACCATTTTTGAGGTACTTTGGAATCCTCTAAATGTATAAAGAACACTTTTTCTTAATTTTTATTATCAACTGTGTAGTCATCGTCATTTTCATTTTCGCCTCGCTGCAAACTTCAGCTGGCAAACTTCCCAGTACAAGAAAATATTTGACGATGCTTCACACGTATCTCTGATTCCTCTTTTACTGACTCATTACTTTGTTGTGACCAAGTCAGCCGTCTTTTCCTATTTTCCGGGAAAAATCGGAAAAGAATTAATTAAAAATGTCACCCTCGTAGAAAACAGCTTTCTTTGACGTTTTCTTTTGTCTTTTCTTTTCCATTTAACAAGTTGTTTCAGAAAAGTTGTCAAAGGAAATTCGATCCCGATCGGTTTCATTATTTCATTCAGGAAAACGTGAAATTAATATTCTTCTAAATAAATCTCGAAGACGTCACAGCTGTCCCTGTTTCCCAGTAGCCGTCAAAATTACTTGGACTGTTTTACCAAGAAACCGCCCTAATTTTCCCGCTAATTTGTGTTTCACAACTATTTAATGGCAAGTGTACAGAGTGTTTTATAATTCACTATATTCTAATCAAATTTTAAAATCAAGTAGACAGATTCGTTTATGGAAGACATGATTAAACTGATCTACTTTTTACCATTACCATATGCATATATTTCTTTCAAGATGATACTTATTTACATCGACATATCACGCCCAACTTTAATGTTCTAGTATCCCAAATGTCATCAAAATCGTTAGACCCGTTTTGAAGAATTTAGTACATTGATATTGATTGACTATAACTATATTACCTTGTTTTTCAATGGGTCCCCGATACTGAAGAGGAATAATTCGGCAGAGATCCTTATCATAGATGTGCACAATGTCAGATTTTGTGACGTCTCTAGGTGGGAAGAATGATCCCTCGCTAGCTTTGATGCTTGAGCATGGAGCGTTTGGCCAATAGGGCAGATGGTCCAAACCGTTTAATTTATCTAGTAGGCCAAACTTCTCCATACCGTTTACACCAGTATGTATTGTATGTCGTTCAGATAGGGTGCCGTTTCTCTGTAATAATATAAACAGATAGTTATTAATATGAACAGTGGATAATTGGTTTCTGTTTCATCAGTTCATTAAGGTTTTAAGATTCCTTTAACATACGTTCGACTAAATTAAAATCCACGGTCAATTTGGTTTGGACATAACCTTAAAAAGTACTCCAAAATTCACAAAAACCGTCAATCATTATAATCTCAAACGATTTTAAACCTAAAACCTGTAACATATCAACCCTTCCACTAAATACACAACTTCATAATCCTTTAAACAGGTATGACTGACTGACCGTCTTACAAATATTACACGGGGTTATACAAAGGTCAATACCGTGGGAATCATGAGAGATTAAGCGATACTGCTTCAGTATTTTCATTACGGGGATATATGGTTAAGGGAACATAAACTTTTAGGATTGAGGGTCTAAGGGAATATGGAGTTATACATTTAGTGGAAGAGTTAATCGGATGCGGGTATTAGGTCTACAATCGTTACAGTTTTAGTAGAATTTGGAGTGTTTTTTGAGGTTTTGGATGTTTGAGAAATGTGAAAATTGGTTCAGTATAGAAAGGTTTGGCAGTATTACCATATAGCAAGTAGGAGTTAGAGATAGCTTTAAATAAAATGGAAGAGGTGTTGATAAAACAGTATCGTATGAAAATAAATCAAAATAAAACAAAAATACTGGGTTGCAAGGGTGGAAAAAGTAGGGAAAGAGCGAATATAAAGATAGAACACGAAAAACTAGAAGAAGTGACTGATTTTAGGTATCTAGGAAGTCAGATAAGTCAGGACGGGAGAAGTACTAGAAATATAAAGCAGAAGACAACACAGGGTCGAGTCGCCTTCAATAATAAGAAGTGAGTTCGATGTTCACGAACGGTTAATTTAGAAATTGGAAGATGATTGTTAAAGGTGTATGTTTGGAGAGCGGCGCTGTACGAGTGTGGAACCTGGACGGTGAGTAAAGTGGAAAACAAAAGGTTAGTAGCGTTCGAAATGTGGTGTTACAAGCGAATGATACCGTGGATAGAGAAGGTTAGAAATGAAGAGGTAATAGAAAGAAAGAAGGTCTAGTTAGAGAGATATTAGAGGCAGAAACAGAAGTAAAGAGGAGTAGAGGTTGACCCAGATTAGATTACTGTTTACAAATAGTTAAGGATGTGGGATGTTCTAATTTTAAGGAAATGCGAAGATTAGCTCAGGATAGGGAAGAGTCGAGGGGCGTGTCCAACCGGTCTTAGGACTGACGACCTTCTGATGATATAAAGGTTTGAAGGTATGTGTCTAATGAATCTTCAAACTCATAACTTTGTAATGATAATTCTCATGATATCAGTTGTATATTCATTATATGCAGGTACCTACCTATTATTGTTGTATGAGCTATAGTAACTAACCGGATAACTCAACGAAGTCATTGTTTTATGTTTTCAATTGTTTTTTTCTCTCACATTTTTATTTAAGCGTTATCGAACGTTTTAATCAAATACTTGCCACGAAAAACACGCGCGTTCATTAAACGAGGTTCCATTTGTTTGGTGATTTTTTTGCAAACTGAATAAGTGAAATGTCAGCAGTTCAATAATAATGTACAACACCGACCTAGCTAACGATCGTTTGACCGATGTGCCTCCATTTTATTATTCTTTTTTTGTTTTTATTTTTGACGATTTAATTCGTTCATCTGGCGCGTTTTTACCGTTCGATTTTTAATTAAAATCCGTTGTTACAGCGAACGAATATAGATAGATTATTGAATTGTTTTAGTTAGATTTAGAACAAACAGAATAGCTCAAAACCCCAACGCCAAAACACGACACTGTAGTTGTCCGAAGCACTTTTCGGTAACAAAGTTACCTTCTTCAGGGACTGAAGTAAACTAAACCTAAATGAGAACTAATCCTAATTTATACTGATAGTTGTTAAGGTTCAGTGAACATGACCCGAAGCCAACAAGGTAGATGTTCAATGGACCTTAACATCATCATCATAAACGTAATTAAACTAAACTAAATAGCGGAGATCCAGGGATGGGACCGTTGTCATTGTTAAGAACAATTTGTTTATTTTTATAAATGTATAAACTTTCAAAACTGTTTAGTAAACGATTATTCCTAACTTCTTTAACTAACTTAAGGTTATTAATATTAA